GGCCAAAATTTCGATAATTTTTAAATGCCCCAATTTGATTGGTCCAGAAATAAAAAGCCATTTTGCTTTCGGGGTATTTAAAAGAAGGGCTTTTATTTGTTTAATATTGACCGGTCGCCATTCCGAGCGGTGAATTTTTTGCATTCGTCAGTTGGCTTGGTCCAGAATTTTGTGGTGTCTAAAAACAAGGAATTCTGTAAGGTTTTTTGGGTGCTTTTAACGTAATTAGGTTTGATTTTGGATGATTTTCAACAGTTTTCTCATGTGCCCAATTTCTGATTGGCTATTGATTTACAACAAGAAAAGAAACTTTTGAGTATTTTTTGGTCGCATTAAAAACTATGATTTTTGAAGAATTTTATGTCTCTTTCGGTTGTTAACTTTTGGGAAAAGATATAAATTTTTAGGAATCTGCCTTGTTTCGTAAGGCGCCAAATATACCACCACTTTGATTTGGTGTTGTTTTTCCTTTTTTTTGCATGTGCCAATTGGTCTGGTCCAGAAATACAAAACCATTTGGAATGTCTAAAAACGACGGATTTTGAAAGTTTTTCAGAGTGCTCTTGAGATAATTTTGCATTATTTTGGGAGATTTTAACGGTTTTTTCGTGTGCCCAATTTTTGGTGGTCTACAGATATTTGGGTACTTTTGGGGTGCATAAAAATTAATGCTTTTTGAAGGGTTTTAGCCCTTTTTTGGTTGTTTGCATTTGAGCAAACAGCTAAATTTGTAGGATTTTGCCGTGATTTTTAAGACGCCAAATGACCTGGTCCAGAAATAGAAAGCCATTTTGGGGTGTTTAAAAACAAGGCATTTTCTAAGTTTTTTGGAACTTTTTTGGTTGTTTACTTTTGGAAAAACACTAAATTTGTAGAATTCTACCCCATTTTTTCGTGTGCCCAATTTTTGGTGGTCTACAGATATTTGGGTACTTATGGGGTGGATAAAAATTAATGCTTTTTGAGAGGTTTTTTGCCTTTTTTGGTTGTATACTTTTGAGAAAACAGCTAAATTTGTAGGATTCTGCCCTGTTTTTTAACACGCCAAATGCCGTGATCCAGAAGTAAAAAGCCATTTTGGGGTGTGTAAAATCAAGGTATTTTGTTAGTTTTTTAGGGCGTTCTTGATATAATTTTGCATTATTTTGCGAGATTTTAACGGTTTTTTTCGTGTGCTCAATTTTTGGTGGTGTACACATATTTGGGTACTTTTGGGGTGGATTAAAAATTAATGCTTTTTGAGGGGTTTTAGGCCTTATTCGGTTGTTTGCTTTTGGGCAAACAGCTAAATTTGTAAGATTCAACCCTGACTTTTAACACGCCAAATGCCCTGGTCCAGAAGTAACATTTTATACTCTACTCACAACAACAGATGATAACTGTTGCATGGGTTCTTTCAAAGTTTTGATTTGTTCGCATACTAATGGAACTGTAGACTCGATAGGTTCGACTTGCTCATAAGCAGTTAAAGCGTTTTGAAGTTCAAATAAAATTGGTGCAAGTTCCATTAGAGCTAAAACACCTTGTTCGGGTTTCATCTGTACATTCTGAGTTTCAGCTTTTAGAGTTTGTATTTCTTCAACAAGAGTAACGAGAGGCTGTAACGTTCCTTGCATTTTGTCTTTCTCTTTAACTGGACTTTCTTCTGCATCTAGTAATTTTTCAACTTCAGATATTTTTGCTGAAAGTGCTTTCAAAGTTAAAGATGCCGATGCCAAAATTTGTGCTTCAGGAAGCAATAGCAAGACCTCTTCAATGTTTAGTTTGACGGCAATCAACGCGTTCTTCACCTTTGGTTTTTTCTGCTCCAACAGTTCTGGTTTTTTGAGAACACATCTGACATCAATTGTCACGTCAGATAATTCTTTCAACGGTTATTTTATAGCCTGGATTTTCTGCAATATTTGCAAATTGACAGTAGATATCTTTTCAGAACAAAACTCTTCAGAAGTTATAAGCGCCTCTTGTAATGCTGTTAGTTCGTTTTGTAATTTAACAATAGTCAATACTCCTTGAGAGGAATCTATTTTGACGTCACTAATGTCTGCTTGTAGTGCTACCATTTCTTCTGATAAGTCCATGATAGGTTGCAACACAAACTTGATTACTTCTGATTCAGTTTTCGTAGGCTTTTCTTCCGATTTTATCATAGTTTCTACTTCAGAAATTTTAGCAGAAAGCTGTTGCACTGCGGTCATTGACGTTTCCAACTGTTTTGCTTTTGGAATATTTTCTGCAACTATGTTTAGTTCACATTTTAGAGCGGTCAGCGCCTCACAAATTTCAGGTTTTTTCTGTTCAAGAATTTCTGGTTTTGTTAAGGTGCTTTTTACTTGTACAACGACGGCGACTAGTTTTTCTAATGGTTCTTGCAAAGTCTTTATTTTTTCCAGATCTTCGGTAGCTATAGTTTCTAGCTCTTCAGGAGTAGTTTGTTCACACGTAATCAGTGCTTCTTGGAGGGAAACTAGCTCCGACTCTATATTTATAACACTTAAAACAGCTTGTTGAGGAAGATTGATTGCTTGACATTCTGTCTGCAGAGCTTTAATTTCTTCGCATAAAATGACCACAGGTTGCAAAACTGATTTTAGATCTGATTTCTTTTCAATATGTTTCGCGTGTTGTCTTTTCAACAGGTTCTTTCCCTTTTTGCTTTTCAACAGTTTCTTCGTCTTTTGTCTTTTCAACAGGTTTTTCCTCTGTTGTCTTTTCAAGAAGTTTTTCCTTTGTTGTCTTTTCAAGAGGTTCTCTCTCTTTTGTCTTTTCAACAGGTTGTTCCTCTTTTTTCTTTTCAACAGGTTTATCTTCTGTTACCTTTTCAAAAGGTTCTTCTTTTGTTGTCTTTCCAACGGGTTCTTCCTCTGTTGTCTTTTCAACAAGTTCTTCCTTTGTTGTCTTTTCAACAGGTTGTTCCTCTTTTTTCTTTTCAACAGGTTGCTCCTCTTTTTTCTTTTCGACAGGTTTATCCTCTGTTGTCTTTTCAACAAGTTCTTCCTTTGTTGTCTTTTCAACAGGTTGTTCCTCTTTTTTCTTTTCGACAGGTTTATCCTCTGTTGTCTTTTCAAGAAGTTCTTCCTTTGTTGTCTTTTCAACGGGTTTTTCCTCTGCTGCCTTTTTAACAGGTTCTTCTTCTGTTGTCTTTTCAACAAGTTCTTCAACGGGCAACATTTCTTCAACAACAGACAATTTAGCAGAAAGTTTTTCAGTTTCTACTGAAGCAACTTGTAACATTTTCACTTCTGGAATTATCTGAGTTATTTTGTCTAGTTCACATTTTAAAACTATCAGGGCTCTTCTGAGTTTGGGTTTTTTAGTTTCGCGGACTTCTGGTATATTAATTACATTTCTAACTTCAATAACAATTGAAGAAAGCTTCTGCAGTGGCGCTTTTAAAGATTCTATGCAATGGAGAGCTTCTGCAGTTATAGTACTAACTTGCTCAGATGAAAACTGCTCCGAAGCTATTATTGCTTCTTGAAGATTTAAAATTTCTTCTTTTAAATCTATTACACCAAGCACGCCTTGTTGAGGAATAGCACCCAATATCTTTAATATCTGCTTGTAATATTGTTATTTCTTCTGACAAATCCATTATTGGTTGCAACATGATCTTCAGTATTTCTGATTCTGTTTTAACAATTTTTTGAACTTCATTTTTATCGTCAATTTGTGTTAGCGTGCCACAGAGTTGTTTAATTGCTGCGGACAAATGTTGGGCATACTTTGTTTCAGGAAGGTTTTGGAACACCATACTAAGTTCAGAGTTCAATAGTCTTAATGCTTTCTTTAATTTTGGCTTTAATTTTTCTTGAATTTTGGGTTTATTCAGTGAACTTCGCACTTCCACAACAATAGCTGAAAACTTTTCTAGGGATTCTTTCAATGACTGAGTTTGTTGCGTTCCAGACAATGCTATCTCACTTGTCTCTTCGCAAAGATGTTGTTCATAAACAATTAAAGCATTTAGAAGAGTATTTAAATCATTTTGAATTTCAACTATCGTTAAAACTCCTTGTTGCGGGCTTACTCCCAGGTCTTGGAGATCTGCTTTCAACGCTTGTATTTCTCCACTTAAAACTTGAACGGGTTGAACAGCTGTCTGTGTTAATTCTACTGAAGGTGGTTCTTCAGAGCTAATGGAAGTTTCCACTTCAGATAATTTGGCACAAAGTGGCTTCAAAGCAACCGAAGAGGTCTGCAACTGTTGTGCTTCCGATGCTTTTGATATTTTTTCTAATTCACATTTCACTGCTGTAACAGCCTTAGCAATTTGTTGCTTTTGTTGTTCTTGAAGTTCTGGTTCATGTACTGCTGTTTTAACCTCCACGATAATTGCTGCAAGTTCTTTTAAAGGTTCTTTCAATATTTCAGTTTGTTGTAAAGCTGGTGAAGAAATATCTTCGATACTTTCAGTTGACACTGACTCCGTAACACGTAAGGCTTCTTTTAAATTAACTAAAGTTTCTTCAATCTCTATAATACTTAAAATGCCTTTCTGTGGGGTCAACTTTAATTCCTGGCTTTCTGTGCGCAAAGCTTTGATATCTTCAACAATATTGACCAATGGTTGTAAAAGATCTTCTTTCGAGGTACTTTTTGGTGATGGTTTTTCTTCGGCTTCTAATGATTTTTCCGCTTCTGATAGTTTCAACAAAAATTCTTCCATAACTGTTAAAAGAGTTTTGAAAGAGTCTGTTTTTGGAATCTTGTGCAAATAATCTTCTAATGCATTCTTGAGTGTCTGAAGAGTAGCTGCCAGCTTTAGTTTTTGTAGGGATGCTTGATATGTTAAGTTGGCAGCGCGGGCACTAAGCGAGTGCGCGCTGGGAATTGTGAGAAGAGAGGTTAGACAGTTAAGAGTGAGAATAAAAAGCAGCTACCCCTAAGTGTTATTATTCCGGGTTCTTGGGGCTCTCAGGCACGGCCACACATGGTGTCAGGTGTGAAAACAACCAACGGATAAGTTCGAAAAAGAAACAAACAAGAAAATCCACAAAATGACGGACAACGGCGACGATAAGCAGGAAATCGCTGACCTACGCCAACAACTGAACGTCCTACAACAAATGCTCCAGAATCTGCACTCAACTGCAAAACGAAGCGTAATTAATTCAGTGCCGGCTCCCGAAGCATTTAGTTTCGACAAAAACGAATGGACGGCATGGCTAACGCATTATGAACGCTACAGAATAACGACAAAGTTGGACACAGCAGACGAGAAAGTACAAATAAATAGTCTTTTGCTCCACATGGGCCAGAAAGTCACGAAGATTCTCGAAACGAAAAAGAAAGACGAGTATTCATTCGACACGTACGCAGAGGCGAAACAATTTTTTACTGGCTACTTTGTTGGAACTACAAATATAATTTATGCAAGAGCCAAGTTCAATCGGAGAAACCAAAAAGAAGGTGAGTCCGCACAAGAATATATTACTGCCATTGTTGCTCTAGGTAAAGACTGTAAATACGGACAGTTAGAGGATGAATTGGTTCGTGACCGACTTGTAGTGGGCATACGGGATCAAAAATTATCCGAGTCACTACAATTGACTGAAAAATTAACCCTAGAAATGACGGTAAATAAAATTATGCAAGCTGAGACGATCAAAACAGAAAACCAAGAGCTCAGAGAGGGGGTGCATATAGGCGCTGTCAAGAACAAAAAGCCACAAAAGCAGAAAAGTAGTCGAGAACAAAGGAATCGACCAGAAAAAAAGAAAAACAGAAACAAATGTATGCGCTGTGGTAAAGAACCAAGCCATCCCAGAACAGAATGTCCAGCCAACAACCAAAAATGCAGAAAATGTCGACTGATTGGTCACTATGGGTCTGAGTGCCGAACGAAACGAATTAATGAAAATGTACAAGCAGATCAAAGTAGCACTGACAACAGTGACTATGAGCTTTATCGAATTATTAAGGTGAACAGAGTGCAGCGATCCAGCCGGTTTCGCATGACTCTCAACTGTGGTGAAATAAAATTAGTCTTTAAACTTGACACAGGGGCTGAGGAATCGGTCATAACCTCAAAAGACTATGAAGAGAAATTAAAAAATCATTACAGATTGAAACCTACTCGAACAGTATTAGCAGGTTTGGGCCAAAACAGATGTCCCGTGCTGGGCAAAATAAAAATTCGCTTAGAAATAGGTGGGAGACAAGAAGTCATTAAAGCCTACGTCGCTGACACGAACGAAAACCTTCTGGGTGAACCAGCTTTGCTGAAACTACAGATCGTACAGCGGTTGGGAAACGAGATAAAAATGATCGATCAAGTGAGGCTAGAAAATAAGCGATCAACCAAAGAAGAAATTCTCGCAAAATGGCCTGAAGTATTCAAAGGTTTGGGGAAGTTACACAACTTTCAGCATAAGATCTGTGTTGAGGAGGGCGCAGTTTCATTCTCCATTGCGACACCCAGGAGAATACCCCTTCCGTTAATGAAGCAAGTGGAAAAAGAAATAAACAAAATGGTGACACAAGAAGTGATCGAACGTGTGGACAGTCCAACAGAGTGGTGTGCACCTATGGTGGTAGCACAAAAGAAAAACGGTAAAGTACGTGTGTGTGCAGACTTTACGCAATTAAATCAGTTCGTGAGACGCGAACGGTATCAGCTCCCATCAGTGGACGAAACGCTTGCCAAATTGAGGGAAGCCAAGTTATTTTCGAAATTAGATTTCTCTTCCGGGTTTTGGCAACTGGAAATTACACCGGAATCACGAAAATACACCGCGTTCATAACACCTTTCGGAAGATACATGTATCGAAGAATACCTTTCGGTATAACATCGGCTCCAGAAATATTTCAAAAAACACTGTATGGAATAATACAAGAACTTCAGTCTGACTGGATACACGTGCATGCTGACGATATTCTAGTCACGGGCAGAAACAGTCAAGAACACAATGAAAATTTGGACAAAGTGCTAACAGTAGTGAAGAAACACGGTTTAACGCTCAACAAAGACAAATGTGAATTCAACAAATCAGAAACCTCTTACTTGGGATATGTTGTTGGAGCGGAAGGTATCAAAATTGACCCAAAAAGCATAGCAGCTATTCGTGACTATCCAGCACCCAACAACCCAACAGAAGTCAAACGATTTCTTGGTATGGTAAATTATGTCGCGAAATTTATTAGCAATGTTGCCGAGAAAACCAAGTATCTACGAGAGACGATAAAAAACAGCACGTCATTTGTATGGACAGAAAAACACGAGGAAGAATTCCAGAATTTAAAGGAAACTATAGCATCAGCTCCCGTATTAGCAAAATATGACGTCGACAAACCAACACGAGTCGCAGCCGACGCCTCAGCATTTGGAATTGGAGCTGTGTTGGAACAACAGCAAAATGACGACAACTGGAAACCAGTGTACTTTTGTTCCAAAACCTTAAGTGACGCGGAGCAACGGTATGCTCAGATCGAAAAAGAAGCACTCGCAGCCACGTGGGCATGCGAACGGTTAGAGCAATTTCTCATAGGATCGCGTTTTTTAGTGCTAACGGACCACAAACCGCTGTTAGTGATATTAACGACGAAAGAAATTAATAAACTCTCCAACCGATTACAAAGACTAAGAATGCGGTTGTTAAAGTTTAATTATGATGTGCAATACGTCCCGGGAAAAACATTCCATGTACCCGACGCGTTATCTCGCGCACCTCTACACGAAGGCGACCGCGACGGCGATTCAGCGCTTAAGGACCAGGAAATATATATCAACGCAGTGTTGACAGAACTATCATCGAGTTCCTGCTCAGAAGAGGTGGTACGGAAACATCAGGAGGAAGATCAAGAAATGCAACTATTGAAGAAATTTGTAGTAGAAACATGGCCAGGAAAACCACCTACTGCCGTGACACCATACTTTAAATTTCGTAACGAATTAAAAATCCACAATAACCTAATCTGTTATAGAGATCGCTTAGTAATTCCCAGGTCCCTCCGCAAGCAATGTTTGCGAGTACTACACGATGGACACCTGGGCACGCCCAAATGTCTGGAAAAAGCGAAGACAACAGTTTGGTGGCCTGAAATACGCCGACATCTGAAGGATATGGTTGAAAACTGCGAGACTTGTATCAAGCACCGCCAGCCTGTAGTCGAGCCAATGATCCCTTCCACAGTACCATCCCGTCCGTGGAAAGTCCTAGGTGCGGACCTCGCCTACTACAATGGAAAGAATTACCTAGTGGTGCAGGACTATTACTCGAAATACCCTGAAATTCGCAAGCTGAAAAAACTGACTAGCTTAGAAACAATAGAATATCTCAAGGACATATTCTCGCACCATGGAATTCCGGAAGAATTAAGAAGCGATAACGGTAAACAGTTCGACAGCCTCGAGTTCAGAACTTTTGCCAAGGACTACGGATTTCGATGGGTGAGCAGCAGCCCGGAATTCCAGCAGAGTAATGGACAAGCAGAAAGTGCAGTCAAACTATTGAAAACCATCTTGAAGAAGAACGAGGATCCATTTCTGGGCATGCTGGCCTACAGAAATACTCCCTTATCCTGCGGAGCCTCCCCAGCCCAGCTGTTGTTTGGCAGGCAGTTACGGGACAGGGTGCCAGCAATAAGCAGAAGATTGGTACCAAAGCTGCCAAACCATCAAGCAATTAGGAGAGAAATGGAGGCAGAAAAACAACGACAAAAACATCACTACGATAGACGGCATCGCACGAAAGATAATGCGGAGCTGAAAGCTGGTGATCGAGTGTGGCTTATTCATCGAAAAGAAGAGGGAATGGTGCAGACGCCAGATGAAACACCAAGATCATACTGGGTAAAGACTCCTCATGACCAGGTCAGAAGAAACCGACAACATTTGCAAAAACTACCAGAGCTGGGTGAAAATCCCCCAAGAAATTCTGAGCCAGAGATCATGTCTTCACCAACCAACAAACAACCAAAAACGCCAACACTTCCCGTCTCTGCGAGACCAAACCGCACGAAAAAACCACCAGGCAGATTTAAAGATTTTGTGATAAATTAAACCACTTTCTAGTATTATATTATTTAGATACGTTGTTATTTTAATAGTTATATCTTAGTTTTGTAAATCTAGTTTAAAGTAAAGAATAATACAAAAGAGGGGGGATGTAGGGATGCTTGATATGTTAAGTTGGCAGCGCGGGCACTAAGCGAGTGCGCGCTGGAAATGGTGAGAAGAGAGGTTAGACAGTTAAGAGTGAGAATAAAAAGCAGCTACCCCTAAGTGTTATTATTCCGGGTTCTTGGGGCTCTCAGGCACGGCCACACATAAAGTAAACTACAAAAAGATTAAACACAAATGCTTGCGGTATCCTCTCAATTTAAAGGAAGATGAATTTGCTATTATCCCTTTACTTCATAATGACTATAGCAGTTAGTTAATTTGTAATAATAATAATAACAACAAAAACTTCTAATTTTGGACAATTTAAGCTTTATGTTTCTTGTATTTTTCATACAAATATATGGACGAGGAGTCACACATCTTTGAATTTGTTATAAAGCAGAATGTTCATCAAATATGTAGAAAATAAAATTATTCTTCAACACCAACAAAGTATTTTAATAAATTTCGACGCTCTTTGATGGCTAAACTACTATCGTCAGGGAAAGATTAAAACAACGAAACAAAAACTATAAAATCGAATACATTAATCAATAATGGAAACACTTATTATAACACCTTGGATTCAAATCTCGAATCCAGAAGAACTCTCTCCAAACTATATATTATATTTTCGCAGTGGACAGTTGTCGAATTTGATACGAAGGAAATTTCGACAGTACCAGTTGCATGGCTTCTACAGAATGAGAATCAACAATGTTGCATGTGGCCCAAAAGCCACATCAGGAAACATATTACAAAACAAACGAAACCGGCTGATGACTGGGAAAAATGGCCCATAATAACGTTGCTGGCATCACCAGGTATATTTTTCATGGTACTTTTTGTTAAAACATGAATTGTTTTTCGATATTTTGAAACAGTTTCTTATCACGAGGCAATAGCGTATGAAAAAAAGAAGGAAGAAGAAACCTCAGACACGTCCGCAACAGACAATGAGAAAACATTGATTATGAAAAGGAAGAGAAAACGAAAGAAAGATCCTGAGTTTACCTTATACGATGATGACGATGAGGATCAAAAACATCAGAATGCCCGCTGTATCTCGCCTCCCCCTAAAATTTGTGTAAGGGAAGAGGATATATCTTTCTCGTCTTGCGCGACTGATGATACCTGTAAGTGGTAGCGAAATCATGTTTTGTATTGTGGCGATTTTGACGTTCTCCGGCCTTTTTTTTATATTGGGGGGTCCTTTGGGCGCCAGCTGGGTAGTTAACCCAACAAGGAATGGGACGAACGGACAACAGACTAATTTTCGGTAACTTTATATTAACGAACGCCCTTCGCGAAATGGTACCACCTCTACGATCTTACATGCTAAGTACTTTCCGCAAATGTACGTAAGCTCTTTCCTCGTGAAGCACTTCGGAGCGATTATCTCATGTTCAAAGCTCCTCTAGGAGATGTTACCATAGTATGGGACAGCAACGATGGAGACGGCAACCAACCACGAATCGATGGGTATGGGACAGTGACGACGGAGACGGCAACCAACCACGAATCGACGAATATGGGACAGTGACGACGGAGACGGCAACCAACCACGAATCGATGGGTATGGGACAGTGACGACGGAGACGGCAACCAACCACGAATCGACGAATATGGGACAGTGACGACGGAGACGGCAACCAACCACGAATCGATGGGTATGGGACAGTGACGACGGAGACGGCAACCAACCACGAATCGACGAATATGGGACAGTGACGACGGAGACGGCAACCAACCACGAATCGACGGCACCCGTACAAAGAACCTAGTTCCTCCTTCTATTTAAATATTCTAGGCCAAATAGGGACTCACCTAGCTGTTCTTGGTTCCTTATTTTGCCAAATCTCGATTTTCACAGCAATTCACTTCGCTCAAAAAACGCTCTTCACCTCCTCTTTTTCTCGCCACCCGTAAAAACCGACCCCACTCTTTCGCGACCTTGCTCACCGAGCGCGCTTAGATTTAAAAATCGTTACAGTATATTTAAAATATAACAATAACTATACTTTGTAGTATCGCTTAATTCGACAGACTTAATGCCTCCGCCTCCTCTTATTGCACCAACGCCGGAAATAATACAAGATGGAGTTTCAGGTAAATATTACACAGATCTTTTAGTTATGTTTAATGTTTGATTATGTTTAGAGGTCAACTATGTCAACTTACAAGATGCAGGTATGACTTATTGCACTTACATTTTAACTTTTATTTTATTATTCGTCTTTACAGAGATTGTTTATGACAATGTTTCTCAAAACGAGGATTTATATACCGCAGGTATTTAGAGCAAATGGTTACTTTTATACCTATCTTCTATTACCGTATTTTTAGTAATCAATTTGGAGTCTAAAATTGATGCCGTGCTGAAAACTGCAACTAACAATAAAATTTTATTAGAACGAGTTATGTCATCTCTGTATAACATGTCGCAAGGCGCAGGCGGTAGGAGTACCGACATGATTAAAGACTTCGAGAAGGTCCCCAAAGCTCTTGTTGCCTTCGATGAAGAGCTGCAATTGTCAGATGATGCTCAAAGGCAATTGGTAATATTTTTTCTTCTATGGGCCTAGGATATTATACAATAAGTAATTATGGATTTTTTTAGGAAACGATATTTTACTTATGTGGAGGTTCTACGGAGCAAGAAAATATTAGAAGAGGTTTAAAACGTATATTTGCTGACAAACTTGCGAAAAAATGCTCTTGGTGGGGGCGTAAGTCAAATTTCAGAATAGGTCATTTAAAAACGATGCATCTTCTAAAAGGTATATTTAAACGCCGCTATTATTGTTTCTACAGATGTGTATGCATTTATTATTTTACTTTTAGTTGCTGTTAGAAAGCAGTTCACAAGTCTGTCAGACACAAATTTTGAGCGCATCGTCGCTAATTGGTTTCGCCAGGCGAATGTAAGGTACACACGCAATAAAAATAATGCTACCCCTAATAATTATGTGTTACAAATCATATTTTATTATTATATAATGTTTCTTACTGAAGAATTATTTTATTAATTTTTTTTTTTTTTATATAATGGAAATAAAATTGTTATTTTGTAATTTTTCAGGAGTATTTTTTAATTACAAATTACCTGCCATTATGTACTACCCAAAAAAATCAATAAGAATCATCTTTGAAACATTGCAGCGACACTGTTTGTAAATGTTTCTGACACGTAGTATTATGAATGTTTCATATGTTACCGATTTGAGGGCGGACATTTGCGGTTTATGTAAAGTGCACGAAACGTTGCTGATGGTTTAGGGGGAATATTTCATATCCCAGATTAATTATTTAAGAAACGTATCAGTGAAGTAAAAATGTTTACTGGGATGAAGTGCCACCCAAAAGCTTTATGTGGCGGTATTTCAATAATGCATTAAAAAAATAATTGCTCCCTTCTTTTCAGGATGAATGAACTGGATGACACCATCCCTCAGGTTGTGTTGATAGCGTATTTACCAATTTCTCGCTGGGAGAATTGAATAACATTGTTCGTCGAAAGGAGATACGAGTTTAGTCATGATGGGAAAATTCCCTGTCGTTGCTACGGAAAAGTAGTTAATGCGGGACTGATGGAAAGGTTTACCAGTTTCAATGGGATACCTTTGAGCGGGTAATTTCTCAGTTTGATTCGCTGAAAAATTGTAAAGGCTTACAGGTTTCAATAAACCATCAATATTATCAAGGACAACACGTGTACAGGAAGTATATCGACATAAATTATGTCCCATAATAATTCTGAATAAGTCCTTAAATGTGTGTCACTTTTGTTGTCACCTGTAGAATTAGGAAAATTCAGAAGACGGCTGTTCCGACTAATAAGGCAAGAATGCTTACGTTACATTGTCGAGTCAGGCAACAAAGATTGCGCATTAAAAAGAACCAAGAGTGTTTAGACAAAATAATTGGTCTTACAAAACAAAGCACAACAGCCTTTCTTGCCAAACTGCATTGAAAATTTCGAGTTGTCTGCTGAGGAAAAAACAACTTTAACAGAAACTGTTAAGGCCGCACAAACAAAAAATAGGAAAGGCACAATACCCATCATTGCGAAAAGCAGAGAGAACGAGCTTAGCTCGCGACACAGCCTTCAATAAGTCAACTGTAGGGATTTTTTTTGAAAATCTGGAACGTCTTCAGAAAAAAAATGTAAATTTCGCCCAGAAGATATATACAACGGAGATGAAACAGGTCTTTTAACTGTCACTGAACCACCAAATGTAGTTGCTGCAAAAAGAGTAAAACAAATTGGACAAGTGTGTTCACAAGAACGGTGTCAACTTGTTACCATGTTAGCCTTCGTCTCAGCAACTGGAAATACAATCCCTCCTGCTTTCGTTTTTCCAAGAGTAAATTTTAAAGAATTTATGACTGAAGATTGTCCTACTGGAAGTGGAAGTTTAGTACACAAGACTGGGTGGATGACTGCCGACAACTTTTTTGCAGCGTTCAAACACTTTGTTAGATATGCCAAGCCTAGCGAAGAAAATCCAGTCCTTTCAAAAAAATAATTTCAGATATGCTGTTTTGGAAAAGATTGCAAAAAAGAATTTAGGATCAACAAGACTGACAATTTTAAATTTCCGGAATGTGACGACATAAGTGAGGTGAATGAAAGTTATTGTTATGGTACTTCCGACGCCCCAACAACTGGAAGGATCCAGAAGAGTAAAAGGTTTTTATTCATTTTCAATCGATTTTTCTAACATTAATGGTTTAATGTAATATTAAATTTGTTTCTGGAGTAAAGAGTAGTATTTTCATATTAATGACATATTTTTTATATAGTGTTACGGATGCTGTGGTCATGTCTCTTTCAACACTGTACATGTCCCTATCATCACATCTAAATGCTTTGAAAGGGACAAATTCGTTAGTAATAAAAACTATTCATAAACCCTGATAACATGTAACTAATGAAACTAGTTTAGGTAGGAAATGAGGGAAACATTTGTAGGTACTCCTTGACTAAATTTGAAAAGAATTAAATATATAGTTTTCGAAATTTTCAAGTAATTATGAAAAATGTCCCTTTCATACCTCCTCTTCCTACTTTTTTTTATATAAATTTGGTAACCTTAGATGCAGTTCTATTTTGAGTTTAACTATGTAAACTAATTAATACTTTTGTTATATTTTCAGTAAGTCAGTGGCAGATGGAATACCTGGTTTAGAAGTCTGCAATGGATCAATCGCCTTGTGGGAACGCATTAATCACGTATGATGCCTTAAACAGGAAAATTCGTATTCAAGAAGTGAAACCAGGTTCCTCCGACTTCATAGTGTTAAAGATTCGATTGAATGGTTAGATACTTGGGAAAGTGATTTGAAGCAACGAAGAGAACCAATTTCTAACTAAGAACACTGCAGAAGGATTGATAGTTACTTTACAATCGGCTCGAGATCTTTGCCTGTATCTATCCCAGACGTACTCATTTTCTTACCTGCTGACAGGAAAAGTAAATCACGATCCTTTCGAGGTAGCGTAATGTAAAGGTTTTACAATGTAGTCAATTAATATATAATTTATCCTTTCAGAAGTTTTTCGGCATCATAAGAATAGCAGGAGGGCAAAACGACCAATCGGCCACGCCAATTTTATTATAATTACATAAACTTTTATCTGTTTATGCAGTACTTAAGCCTCCAAACTGCACGGTAACTAGTGCAGATAATGCTCCGCGTACACTTATGTCGTTAGAAGATGTCAAAATAGCTTATGCGGACAAAATCGCGCCACTTACAGCCACGGAACGTGAACGTCTAAAAGAACACCTTAATGGTTCTACAACACGATACTTCATTCACTGACGTAAAAAAGTGCGTGGTTTATTAGATCACTGGATAACTCTGCAAATAAATTCAAAAATATACAAAATGTTTAATTTGTTTGCAGAGTATCAGAACAGAAGAACAATACTCACGAGAAACACACAGTTAACCAATTTAAAAACTTATAATTAATTCATCCCAATATAAATTTTTTCCACTTAATTACTACTATAGAAACAGTGTTTGCTATGTAGTTTCCTACACGAAGCAGATGTATTTGAAAAGACATTGGGCTATTTGACTGACAGCTACGCCTTTCATTTTGCTCGTGCAGAACCAAAAGAAGAAATTTTTACTTACGTTATAAGATACTAATTACACATAAGAATGAGACAGTTTTCAAGGGAGCATAATAAAGAAAATAAAAAAGAAAGTGCAGAAAGAAGAAATAAGTCGAAAATTGCAAAATATTGATGTGCTGAAAGGTTGTAACAATTTAGTAATTGTCTTAGAATAATAGATAACAAGATGATATATATTGATAATCGTTGGGTTGTTCGGTTGTCGCCGTTACTTTCCAAGACATTTAAAGCACGCATAAATATCGAATTTTGCCATTCAGTCAAATCTATTAAATACATTTGCAAGTATGTGAACAAAAAACATGGCTGTGTTCGGACTTGCTGCCGAAAATTCCAAAGATAAAATCACTCAATTTAAAATGGGCCGCTATTTTGAAAAGAGACATACTGATTTGACACGTAGGAATTGCGAAAACAAAAAAAGGTGTAAAGCTGAAGTCACCCCTGAAACCATAAATTCATATTTTGATAAATTGCAACAAATGATCCAGGATGCTCTACACGCTAACATCATTAACTATGACGAAACTAACATTATTGACGATCCTGGGAGAAAAAGGTTTTTGTCAGGAAAGGCAGCAAACATACACGCCGTGTTGTATATTCATGAAAAACTTCAAATTCCGTTGTTTGCGGTTATAGAGGACGGTAAATTGTTGCCCCCATACATTGTCTACAAATCTAAAAATCGATATCCTGAATGGATCTACAATGGATCAGATGGAGTTTGATACCACCGTTCTGTAAATGGTTGGTTTGACGGAAACATATTTGATGATTGATTTACAAATATAGCACTCCCTTATTTAAAAAGAAAAGGCGGTAGAAAAATGATAATAATAGGAGACAACTAGAAGTGTCTGTATATGGGCCTTTAAAGAGAAAATGGCGAAAAATGTTAACAGAATGGGAAACTGAAGAATAGGGGAGTGATTCCAAAAACTCAATTTCTAGGATTAGTAAAACAGTTCCTTCAATTGCTGTAAACTATCATGGCAGATAATATTAAATCTGGATTTCGAAGTTCAGGAACAATTCCTCTAGATTAATTAAGTAGATTCAACTTCTCTTCTCTAAATACGAGAAGACCAATTTTAGGTGTCAGATTAAATTTAATTAAGTATAAAATTGATTGCGCGTGGTTGCTT